TGGACCAATGAGCTTCTCTTTTGACAAAATCGAGAGAAGAGTGAAGTTAGAGCTTTGGGGAGTGCGAGATCACTGGTTCCATACATCTATATAAAGAGACATAGTTTTAGTTAGTGATATAAATCCTCAATAATTTAACCCAAAATGAATATTCAAGGCTAGGATCCAAAATACAATTCACAATAAAGAAGAGGGATGTTGTAATCTAATTGTGAATTTATCAAGGTAGGTAATACAAATTTACCAATTTCAATCTAATATGAAATTCCTAGGTCAACTGAGATTCATTGAATCTTATCAATGACATGTTTAATCGTAAATTATGCTCTTCAATTTGTGACTGAGATGCCTAGGATCACAAACTAGATGTGAATAACCATGCAAAACCTCTTGACAACATCGGGGTCATTTATCATCTCAAATTGATGTGTTGGTAAACCACACACGCTCCATCAACAATGATAATTTTCGATTTGTCCATCACTCAACTTTATAGTCCAAAATTAGTGTGTTGGTAACCCACACACGCTCCATTAACAACTTATAAAGAGTGATGTGCGTTTTCATGGATTAGCATACACTTCACATTTTTTTCCTAAAGTAACTAGAGTTGGGATTTGTAAAAGGTTATGTTACTTTATAACATCATACTTTTAGAAGTTATGTCCTATCAAACCCGTTCGGCTAACGACCCTCAACCATACAAGGGAGTGGTGGGTAAGAGTGGACACCCATTCAATGGTCATTTTATAGGTTGTTTCCTTATACCCCCTTAGAGTATGGCTTCGTGAATGAGGTCTACTATTGATTTGACTGACTTTTCTTATACGTATAGTATATTAAACATTGAATCATATATAGTATAAGGTGTATTAAACTTTTCAAAAACACTAGGTTTAAAATTAAGTTTCGAAATTAATAATTAATTAATTAATTTTAACCAACTAATGATTTACCAATTATCCTTTAATTAACCAATTAAATTAATTAAATCATTAAGATTTTAAATAACTATCTTCAGTTAAACAATTAATAAAATAATTCAAATTTAAATTAATAGTAATTATATAATTATAATTAATATAATAATTCAAATTAAATCCTAATCCCAAATACCCTTCTGATCTTCGAAAAAAAGGAATAGGGTTACCAGGTTTTTAATTATCCAAATTTTAAGGCATTTAAAATTGTAATTAAGAAAACTAGAAACCCTAAGGGATACCTACCAATTTTCAAAAATAAGGGGTGGAGACTAGGGTTTTAAGAACCCTAGCCTTTTGCGAAAATTTCAAGCCATTAGGGTTTAATTTCCATAAACCCTAATTTGATCTATTCACTATTATGCACAATCAAATAGAAAACTAAGGCTCTAATACCACAGATGAGTTTTCTAGTTTATAAAAATTACATATGAGCGAAAAAACACTTAACCCATAAATTCACATGCAACCTAGTTTCGATCTATGTTTTCTCTATGGATAACAATAAACTATGAACATCAAGAAACCCTATGAGAACCCTAATATTATCGACATTTATATAGGAATAGGATTACATAACTTTTGATTATTATAGTAAATAATCACACAAAATCCTCTTGAAGTTCCTTGGAAAGCAATCACCAAAAACTTGAATGCCTCTAATGGCTTGTACCTAAAACCCTAATAACTAGAAGACTTGAGGGGAGAGGATAAGTAGAGAAAATTTTCAGCTCTAAGAGGGTAAGAAGAGTGCACGAAATTAAGGACCTTAGGGGTCCTATTTATAGCTGATAAGGAAAGCCTTGAATAACCCTAATTGAATATTATAATAATATCTCAAACATGATAATTATCCAACTCCTTATTTATTTATAAGGAATATTCCAGAAACCCTAATCTTCCTCCCTAAAATCGTCCAAGGTTAGGAAGATTCTTGAATTCCCTCTTGTTAAACTATTAAACAATTACAACTTAGCCCTTGCACTTTCAATTAAATCTAATTAACCCGAAATTAGTTTCAATTGATTTCCGATTAATTCTTAATTAATAATTATTGTTTTAAATTAATATATTAATCATACAATATACTAATAACTCATTTATTTTCATTTCTAATTAATTTATTAATCAAATAATAAATTACCAAATCAGACTCTCTCTCCAAAAGTCATTCTATTCAGTTACAGGTTATGAGGGCAACCAAAAAGGACTTTGCTTCTAATTCAAGAATATACCAATTTAGTTATTGGCTTAGACACCTTAATCTAACAGACGCAACAGGGAACCAAAATTTGTTTTCAAGGGGCTATGATGTTATGATCACATGTTGAAGTCTTGAAAGCAGGTTTTATCCTTGATTGGCTTGTTTGTGTGATAAAGGGATATTAATTAACTAGGGCAGGGAAAAGACAAGCGTAGGAAATCAAAGCAGGTGGCTTTGAGTTTAGTTTGTATTGCGTTTGATATAAGACAGTAAATGTGGTGGTGACCTTGTTTTCTTGATCGGTGGAAGAATCTCTCGGAATAGGATTGCTCGGTAAAGGTTTGGCTGTCAAGAAAAGAGGGAATCGAGAAACAATACGATCTGAACATTATGGCGGTGGAAGTTCAAATCGAGTGGCTTTGGATGTGGCTAAGGAAGAGGACGTGGAACCGGGAAAAGCCGAGATGGTAATGAACGTGTCTAACGGTATGTCATGTTACATGTTACATGTATTGTGAACAATGAAAAGGGGTTGAGAGAAGACTTTGGATGTGATTGAGGTGGAGGTCGGGTGTCCGGGAAAGGTCGAGAATCGGGATGTAATGTCAGTGTTCCAGAAGAAGAAGAAGTCCACCATTGAAGCTTGGAGAAGCTCAAGATCCTAGATCCAGAACTTTCATCATCCTTGCAAGCTTCTGAAGGTATAAAGCTTGTACCTTTATGTTTCTTTTTCTAGAACCAGAATTGGTCCATGTTATGTTATGCTTTTGGTCCCAAGATTTGGACTTTTGAGGAATGGGTTACTCTAAACGTCATGAGTGTCATTTCTGGTCATTTTTAGGTTGGTGAAGTCATAAAAATGGGAACTTGGACACTCTCATTCATCCATGCATGAGATTTTGGACATTAGAGTGTACTTTGGACTTAGGGTTTGGATTTGTGCCTTATTGAGACATGCAAAGGCATCAAGTTGTCGACTTTATCAGTTAAGACGTTCCTTAGGTTGAGATCTCTGAGTTAGACGAAAGGTCTTTAAGCATTAAGAGCTTAATGACATGAAATGGACGTTTGATGAGTACGTTGGGCGTACCCTCCTGGTACGTACGACGTAATGGGCTGAGGCCATGTCCCTTTTTGGTGTAGATCAGTAAGTTGGGCGTACGCATCGTGTACGTACGTCGTTCTCACCTGAAACCATTTTGGGCCATTTTTGGGTCTTGGGTCAGTTTGGGCCTTGGGCCATGGTTAGTTGGGCCCATGGTAGGAAGGGTAAAAGGGTTTTTTTGCCCTTTTTATGAGGATTTATATTTTGGGCTTTTAATTGTGGGTTATTACCCTAAATAGTGATTAGGGTTGGTTTGTATGTTTTCAGTGTGTGGAGCCTTTGTAGCAGCAACTTGTGTGTGATTGTTTATCATCGGACTGAGGTGAGTGTTCTCATAGTGTTTGGCGGGTCAAAGGCACCAATGTCGGCCCATTGATTTATGTTTATAGGATGCTAGTTGTCTGTGTGACTCTTGCATGTATTGTGTGTGTTTGTATGTATACCGGGAGAGACCCGATTCCAGGCGGGGCCTGATGAATGTGTCGGGCGGGGCCCATTGCATGTTACTGACAGATATGTACCGGGCGGGGCCCGATGTCGAGTGAGGCCCGATGTCGGGCGGAGCCCATTGTATGTATGATATGTGATATTTTAGGGAACTCACTAAGCTTTGTGCTTATGGTTTAATTTTATTTTTTAGGTACTTCCGGTTCCAAGGGGAATGACCTGATCTGATCGCAGTGCATCCATCCGTGTCCAGTATTTTATGATTTTGTGATTGTACTCTGATAATTATTTTCACATTGACATACTTATGGTGGTTTGACATGAATATTTGATGGTTTTTGTTTAATTGAATATGAAATTTTTACTTATGATTTTTGGGATGTTATATGGAATGGTTCGAAAAGAAGGTGATGAAACATTGTTGTGAGTGAAGGTGTGGATAAACGATTAATGGGTGATTGTTGGGTTAATCGTTTATTTACCAGATCACGAGAATGTGTGAGTGTGTCAAAGTTTAGTAGCTTACTATTGTCTTTTAGTTTGTTTTATTTAGTGTTTGGTTAAAGAATTTCAAGTCAAGGGTTGACTGTTGAGTTATTTCAACAAATTAGACCTTCTTCACCAATTAATTAAAAGTCCGTTTCTTCTTTTTATTCCCTTATTATTCCTCTGTTTCTTTTCTTTGTTGTTCGGTTTTTTCCTTAGACATCGAGGTTTATACCTTACATAATTAAACTAGCTTTCTAGAACTTTCTAGAACTTGCTATAACTCTATTTTGACACTACATTGTACATGTGCACATACCAACATGATTTAGACATTCTTTCTTGTTTTATTCTATCCAATTAGCCTAAAGCCTACCCCTTTTCATTTATATCCCTTTGTTAACCCCTTTAAGCATTAGCTTTTCGGTTGAACCCGGTTTTCTTTTGAACCGCCCCGATTAATTAACCCGGTACATGATTTTCTATTCTAAATTCACCACTACGAACACCTATATTCCTTAGTTAATACAACACTTTTTCAAGAATGAATATCGTCGGTCTACGGGTAATAATGACCAATTATATCAATTTTTTGGTAATTAGCTAACATTAGTTCAAGACCTATAGAAATCTATAACAGTAGAGTAGCATGAAAAATTAAGGTTCCATTTTTTTCTTGCATTAAAGTTAATAGTCATAGCTAGTTGCATACAATAGTAACTAATCGCTTTACATCAAATTACGTACAGTCTTGCAGGAACATCGATCCCAACAAGACTCAAAAACAAAACATGATTCTTCGATCCCGTGGGGTCATGGCACACCGAACTACACCAAGAAAGATCTCCTCATTGCAGGGTATATAAAGTCTGGAATCAGCTGTAAACTCGTACTCTTCTCGAGCTTGATCCAGCAACGCACCGAATAGAGGGTGTTTTAGTAACTTCACCTTGATCACAAACCTCCTCTGGCTTTCACCTACATATACCACCAAATGACCCTTTGGGACATCTCTAGGAATACACGCTTCCTCCTTTCCTCCATGCATGAAAGATGACGACCACCTGAATGCCCATTGCCAGCACTTATCACACTCTGCAGCAGAAGGTAAAACTTCATTATTCATCTTTCCACATCTCTTTAGCCATGCTTTAAGAATCTCTCCTCTCAGCATGTCTTCTATATGTATATATATTAATATAACTATCTTTTAGCTAGATCGATAGAGAGATTGAGGAAGAGAGATTGGGTTGAGAGTAGGAAGCTCTGGAGATTTATATATGAAGAGCGAAAGAGAGAGAGGGAGGGAGATAGGTATAAAGTTAGTGTGGTACTGCTTGACTGCTGTTGTCATTAGGATTGTGTAGTTGGATTTTGGTGTGATGGCTGTTTGTACTTTGTATTATTGATACGAAACTGCACGGACAAGTATTTTGAATGATTAAAAAGGTATTTAGGGATCACATCAATATTTTACAATATCTTTAAAAAAAAAAAATAGTACCAATTTCACTTAGTGCATGGACCTTTAACCCATGCACCTTTTCATCTTCCTACTTGTGGGTGTTATTAGAAGTAGTACTTTGACACTTAATTATCATAACTATATGCCGCTTTTTAGGAGAATTCTTGCCTCCCTAATTAATCATTTTGTTAACCATGTGGTATGGTTGGGCCGATGCTTAGGCTGTAAAGTTAACCAGGCAGGGTATGGCGTGAGTTAAATGCTGTGAGCCCAACAAAGTCTGGGTTACAGAGCTTTGAAATTATGATTGAGCACGTCGGCTAGCTGGGCCTTTTTTCAGCCAAATTAACTATTATATATATAATCTTTAATGCATATGATTTGATCTGATTGAATTTATATTGGTGATCTAATTATATTTGGTGTTAGTGGGAAAGTGTGTGTTGGCCAAAATGCAAAATTACATCACTTTACACTTTGGATGTTCCCTTGGTGCTCCAATTCTTCTTTAATTACCGACCCATGCAACTTGATTAATACCAATTAAAAGTCAACTCGATATTGTGTCTGAAGCTTTGACGTAGTGTTCTTGACTCGATTGTTCACCATTATTATAACGTGGTTCTTGGATTATTTCGTGATTACATCTTTCTTTTAAACCAGCTATATGTGTTTGTTTATTTTTTAGCACCTGAGACACCTAATCTACTTGGTGTACGGCAAAGTTTTACAAAAAGCAATGATTTTGTGATATACTCGTGTGTTGGCTTTACGAGACATTAATTTGTGGTCTTTTTTTAATTGAATAGCGAGGGTTTCATTATTAACGAGATAAGATCTCACACATGTACACAAAAAAGATGGAAGAAAATAATTGTTATCCAGCAAAGAGTTCATCCCCTCAAGGAACAAGCCATGGTTTTGTAGTCAGATGATAAGTCAAATGGACAGATCATATATATGTTATTATTTCCTATTAAAATTTCTCACAACTTCTATACATTATCTGCTTGAAATTAAACATCAACCTATAAAAAAATTAAATATCTTATGATTATACTAGATATTTTTTTAGAACGTACGTATAAAATATTGAAGAAGAATATAACTTTGCTCATCATGTTGGCTTAAAAAATAAACCCTTGTGTATAAGAGGATAATTTAGCAGATTGAACCGGTTAAGATAGTTTAAATAGATAGATTTTGTTTGATGTATATGTTAGAAATTGGGGTATAGTAAGACTTGGAATTCTGAGAATTGTGTAAAACACTTTCAGATTAAAGCATTTGGGTGGAACTCCTAATATTCTTTAATCGGATAAGACTCAGAGAGACAAGAATTTAGAATGCTTTGATGATAGTTTCGTATGTACCAGAAAATGAGACCAAAACCGACTTTATGATCTTTGTCTGAAAACTGTCATATGACAATTTCAAACTGTCATAAAACTATAAAAACTGACATAAAACGGAAGTTTGGATAAGGGTCAAACAATGGTCAATTCTCTGAAAATCCGATTTTCTGATGCATTTTTAATATAGCAACATACCCTATCATCAAAATGGTACATCGAATAGCAACATACCCGATTTTCTGATGCATTTTTACCCCAGCCAGGGGCTCTGCCCCTTAGACCCCGTCAGAGGCTGCCGCCCCTTGGACCCCGCTCCGAGGGGTGCTGCCCCCGGACCCCCGTTCGTTTAGGGGCTTCACCCCTAAATGACAGTGTACTTTGAAAACTTGATCAAACTTAAACAAGTGTGTACTCCACACATTCCTTACTTGTTTAATATTTATCAAGATCACTTTTGGTCAACAAAGTAATCTCATTACACTTAAATAATATTGATGATAACAAATCACCAACAGTATATGAAGTGCATGATTTACTCTTCAAAAGTGTCTTCATTTAGAAAAGGATAAACTTCGACATAAATACAATCATACGAGAACCTGTTGTACCGATATGAAACAATAAAATTGCCTTCCAAACATGAAGGCTTGATGATGATATAGAGTAGGTTGTATTTAAGTGGACATGCTAGACGTTGGACTTGATACCGTGTTTATACAAACAGAAGGCCTAAAGTTCAAACTTTGACACGACCAAAATATTACTAGTTTTCCATTACAAACATTTCACATGAGTCCTAGGGAACATCGATTATCATTCAAATGATGCGATTTATAATCTTTTTTTTTTAAGATGCAACTTTTTATATTATTTAATTATTTAACTTACTTAGCCTTACAATTTTTTTTAGAATCACACTTGTTGATTCTCGCACACAAAATGTCAACATAACCACAAGGGTCCAAAAGTAGCATCTCTCACCACTGTCCCGTCCACGATCCCGAATTAAACCATTTCCTAGGCCCCGAATTCAACACCTCGCTCCCGACCCAATTTCCTTTGAATCTCGTTAACCTTGTTTGGGCTAAAGTACCATGTTTAACCTTCTTTACATTATTTTTTACTCGTTTATTTCATTTAGCTTTACAGATTACACCAATTATTAAAATAAAAAACATATACTACACAATGACTATACTAAGTTTAATATTTTTATAAATAAAATAGTTAAACATAAGATAATTATTTTAGAGCACCACATGGTATTCGGGCTCCACCCCCCCCCCCCCCCCCCCACCCCACCCCTCAAAAAAAAAAAATTGTAAAAGTACCCTTGAAAATATGGTCCCACAGTAAATAGATGTAAATTAACATAAGGTTGTTTGAACTGAACTTTCTTAAATGTTTGTCTTGATTGTATAAGTGTATTAAACATGACAACGCATTTTTCGAATTTGTGTGCTTATTTGTATCATTTGTTGCTTGCATATGTGATATATACGCAATTTATTTTGTCTTACGATTTTAACAATTATATAAAATTGGTGGTTGAAGGGAAATTAATAGTTGATTTGACGTGATTTGATCATTCAAGAGCCTCTATCTTGCAAGTATTTGAGAGTTTTGTGTGTCCATACTTCTCTTACAGTTAGAGTTTAAAATTTTTCCACTCAGATTTTTAATGCCAAAAATAATATGAAAATTCTATCAAAGTGGAGTCTGTCAAAGAAGTGATAAAGGGTCATAAATGTGGTAGGGCAAATCACTTCACAAAAGGATTGTAGAGCTGAGACCAACGTAAAAAATGTATCCTACTACTTATAAAAGCACCATGGGTTACTTATAAAAGTACCATGGTCATATGATGAAACACACATGAATAAGCTTACTTATTTTTAATGGTCTGAAAAATGATAAGCCTCGAACCATGGGTTAGTTATGTAATTCTTTTGTAATTCAAATACTTTTGTACCTTAACTAATTTTCAATCGTGGTTGAAAACACGTTTTCTCAAGTTCAAGGGCTATTGTGAAACATTCCATATTTAATATTATGACATGGATAGTAATTAGTAATTAAAATAAAGGGTAAATTACACGAATGGTCCCTGTGGTTTGGGGTAATCTGCGTGTTTGGTCCCTAAGAAGAATTTTTAACTCGGACCATCCCTATAGTTTGTTTTTGTTACGCGTTTTGTCCTTGATAGACGTAAAATGACCGAATTACCCTTATTATATATATTTTGCCTTATTTATCTATTATGATAAATAATAAATAAAAACAAATTAAAAAAAACTAAAATAAAATAAGAAAATGTGTACCAGTCGTCATGATCCTTTAAACCCCATTCCTCCGTCCAGATAAGTTCGCCGACTCCACATGACATCGTCTTATACCCCGCCGTCGACCAGCTTCGCTGCCGGAAATCACCTCTTCCGCCCTCCGTTCCTCTCTGCTACTGGTGTGTAACAGATTTACAACTCAGAATGATCTGGTGTGTAAGAGATAATCCATCACCGTCGACCATCATCCCCATGTCCTCCCCTCTCCCTGCAAAATTAAACCCCAGTAGTCGTCCTTGCACCTGTAGGAGAACGAGAACGAGAACCAATTGCCATATTTTTTTATTTTTGGATGTTTTCGTTTCTGCATCCTGATATTGAAAGGGAAATGAAGGGTGAGGATAGGAGGAGTGAGTGGGTGATACGAGGAAATAGGGTGAGAGCCGCCAGGTTCAGCTTTTCCCGATCTGATTTCTTCG